TTTGAAACTATCTATTTTGACCTGAGCTGATCTTTCTTTGCAATGACTTGATGACTGTTGTGGTAAATTACGGAGCCGGCCGGCCGGCGTTGCTGATGCTGGGACGATCTAAGAAATACCAAAGAGATCGGAATCAGTCGGCTGAGCAGCGCATTATAACAATTACGCAATCTTACCTGCGCTATAACAGGTCGGCCTTGTGCTGTTCATCCCGAGAATAAGTGACACGCCGACTCGCTTATAGTTAATCCAGAAAACAAAGCAGCAAATCAAAGAAAGCTTTAGATTCCAATGCATCAGCTGCGCGACGAGAGGCGATTTGATTCAATGAAAGTGCATTTCGTATGCAAAGAAGCAACTTAAAACGATTGCCAGCTGCTATACATTATGGTATCACAACTAGACTGTCTGTTCATTGAGGGGAATTTATTAATTGAAAATAGGAACTGTGACGTAGATGATTTTATTTTTAATTTTTTTTTTTTAAATGAAAAATTATCAGTGTGTGAGATTAGATTAATAATGTTAAATCTTTCAATATAGCAACATTTTTAGTGCCACATTCTTTAGCCCAATTGAACCGAAAAGCAATTTATTTTCATATTAGTTTTTGAATCATAAATACTGTTTAAGCATATTAATATTATTTTAATGACAAGCAATGATTTTTTTTTTGATCGCCAAAGTATAAAAAAGCCACTATTGAAATATTGAAAATGTTGGCGATAATAACTTAAAAAATAAATAAATAAACTTATAGTAAATAGCAAAAAAACAAATTTTACTTAAATTATTAAATTATCGCAAATGAGAAGCTATTTAAAATTTATAAATTATAAATATTTAGAGAACTTTTAAATATTACGGCTTTCATTCAAATATGCAAACATGACACATATTTTATTTGAGGAGATAATTAAATTACACGGTGCGAAGTGCTCAGCTGCTGGCGAGAAAGGCCAAAACGTTGCAAATTTTTATTTTTTTTCTCCTCTTGGAGTTTTCCAAGTAAACGGGGAGCGTCAGTATCTCCATCTTCAAGTTGATGTTTCTTAAAAGGGACGAGCCTAATTTGGCGCAATTTAATTCCAGCTGCTGCTGAGCTTCGCTTGTGGCGTGACACCGAGAGGTCAAAGACAAGGACACTCGCGGACGATCCTCCGAAAAAATTATGATGCCTCTCGCTACTAATTACACCACAGAAAAACACACAGACACACGCACCTGAAATGAAATGCGATCCGCATGCACCACCGCTCAAGACGAATTTCGCCATCAACTTGTCTTACAGGTTTTCTGGCAAAGGTTTTCCTCATAGGATCAAGTTAAAATAATTTTAGAATATACACAACATACCATGCACTAAACATACGTGTATGGAATTGGCTTTTCATTTATATATATTTTTTAATTTAATCGTTGGTAATTTAAGAAAATAAAACGGTAAAGTACAACTTATTATAATAATTTGGCCATATTTAATTTTATAGGACAAATTGCACAGGATTTTTCATTAACTCTTTTATTTTGATTTTATTTTTTTAATCAATATGAAAATTTGAGTCGACTCCAGATTTCAATTGTTTTCCCCTCTTTTCATTTAAACAATGAAAAGTTCATATCATACGTCTTGATAAATACGTAACATTGCTATTGAACGTTTGTAAAATAAATTTCAGAAAACCTTTCCTCATCCACATTTCCTTCAAACTTCCCACAAGCAAATTAATTCCAGTTCAAAGCAGATTTTTTCGCATCCTCGCCTGATAAAAACATGACGAGGTTTAACATTTTCACTGGAGGCTAGACCAAAACGACAAAAACTTTTCCCACTTTGGTGCGTAATATTTCCGGCCTTTTGACGCATCACACACACTCTCATCCTCGGCTGATCCGCGACGATTAGACAGGGTATCATGCATTGATGGCGAACCACACCTGTTGCGCCTGGAAAGCCCTTCGCCTTTTTCGAGCGCGTCTCTGTAATATAATAATAATAACAAACTTCCAGAGGCAATACATTATATCTATAAAAGAAGAAGGAGCTGTGCGTCGAAATAGAGAGGCTTAAGAATATAGAATGTTACGGCCGTGCGTAAAAATAGTAATATTTAAAGAAGCAGCGACCTCATACACATGAAAGGGAATTTGTAAATAGGCGAATTCCTTTCTCAATCCGTTGCCTGTGAGAATGATTGTGTCACGCATTTAAAATTAATAAAAGTTTAAAACCTTTAAGATTTTATTTATATATAAAAATAAATTATTTATAATACCTTTTGAATTTAAAAAAAATTTACTTTATTATTTATTTAAAAATATTACTTTATTATTTGTATGCAATAATTGATTATTTTTATGTTAAAATTTATTTATTTTTAAATTTTTTTATCCATAAAATAATATTATTTTTACATAAATTAAAGTCTACAAATTTGTATAAAAACTGTTTTGTGCCATTTATTAATTAACACTGAACACTGAAAAATAATTTTCACTGACTGGTTAATTTTGTGTATCCTGACTCCTGACCGTTTAATTTATATTTTCAATCAAATTATTTATGTCAATTATTCCATTTAGTTCATTAACTGATAACTAATAGTAGAAATGAATTTACCAATAACTTGTGTGGCGATACTCGTGGAAAATTTTAGTCAGAGGAGGTCATCAGAGCGTGTCTCCACACCGTGGCGCCCCAAGTATTATTACGTCCGAAGTCACGTCACAACGAATTTCTGATTTTTTTTCTCATTCCCATCTTTACAACACAACGGTGGCTTCGCCAAAAAGAAACTGGTTCCCTTCTGCATTGGGACGATACTTGTGAATTATAATGTTAATCATGAGAAAAGAACCCTGCGGTCAAATGACAAATGGCACCAACATGATTCACTTTTCTTTACACGCTCCGATGCCAACCAGCTTTGACATTTAGGTTTTTGCTCTTTGTGAATGACAAGATTGATCAATTAATTATTCCTGCGTTCCAAGTTTGGATTCGCTCCTTGCTTTGTCAAACACGCCCGCGGCAGATATTCCAAATCTGTCAAGTGTCAGCGAATTGAAATGCACTGTCGCACATATTAATTAATACCGAGAGTTAAATGCACTCTGTTTTATTGCATTGTAATGAGACAGTGAATGGGGACGCAATTTAGCACATAATTTTCCTTTAATGAAGCGCACTTTGTCTCACACTGCACAATACAGCAGTGTAATGTTGTTTGAATGGTAAAATGTTCCCCATTTTAATTAAGTATCATAAAATGATAACCCTAATTATAAGTCCTTAATTAATTTTTACCAACGAGTATTCTAAATTTTTTCCAATCAACTGAATGAAATATCTTAATTGATGATATTTACAATTGAATTGAATAATTTTTTGTATTTTAAAATCAACTGGAAATTAATTATTTTTCTGATCTTTTAATTATATTGAGTTTAATTTGAAATGGTTAATTTTTTACAACTTGATATTTTATTATACAAACACGAATTATCAAAAGAACTATGATTATTTGTGTTATTTTTTAACTTTTGTAGAAATGTAAATTTCATGCAGTTAATTTAATTTATAATTGTTGAAACTCAAATTTAAAACTAAGATTGATAAAAACTAATAATTAATAAATATAAAAACCTATCAGTTTGCAAAATCAATATTATTTATAAGGATAGTGATTTTCCCAAAGAGAAGAATTTATCAAGGGAAAAAAATAAATTGAAATCAATTTTATCTTTGCATCATCGTATTTTGTAATATTTTTCGCACGATGGACAGAATCTTTGAGGTGTCAGAGAAACACTCTCGCGCTGTCAAACACGCATTTGGCCTTGTCTTGAATGCAATCTGGAACATTCCTCTCTTCACCGCGCGTTGATACAATTGAGAGATACAATCACACGCGTACCGATGTATAAGTTTTGTAAAAGTAGCCGCCGACACGGAGAGGTTGGGACGCGAACATCATCTCACGCCCGCTTTTGCATAGCACAGCTCACCTTACAAGCCACTCACTCAATCAAGACAATAATAAAGCAGCGAGAGACGAGACGCCGAGTAAAAAATATTTGTAGCGATCAGAGGTGAGATAAAATGAAATTTCATGGCCGCGAAAGCCCGGAGGCGAGGCCCAGCCGAATCGGACTGAGGTTGTTGCCCCTTTCTTTTTCGCGCATTGTTTCCCTCCGGCGTAAGAATTTAAACGAGCTAATATACATTCATCCTTCCTTTTCGAGCAACAGTTAGTTATATTGTAATAAAATATGTAGTGCGAGTAGAATTCATCAAATTCATAACAATATAAATTCAATTGTTCCTACACTTCAAATATATCAAAAATCAAAACCTAAACTTCCCAAACCTCAGACCACTACCCAAAACATTAATTGTAATATTTTCCATTCCTTTTTAAATTATCAGCTTGGTTTGTCATTATCGCATGGTTCATCAATTATAAGAAAATATAAGCAAATAAATAATGATAAAATTTATGTTAATGATAAAATAACTAAATAGCAAATAAATTTGTGCCTCCTGCTAAATAAATAAAAGTTTTTTGTATGAACCTTGAATTAAAAAATTCTTTGTTTTATTAATTAGAAATGAATAATTGAAAACTCATGGGGAAACAAAACGATTGAAGAGTTTTCATTTTGGCTTTAAATTATTATTTATGCCATAGCATAGCAACTACTAGCAAGGAAATTAGATAGAAATTTAAAATATTTATTTCGTATATATTTTTTTATTTTTAAATTGGTACAAGATTACATTGAATATTTTATAGATCTTGACGATCTTGATCATTATTAAAAACCTACTTTTAAAATCCGCCTGATCAAGCTGTTTATGCAACCTGCGTAACCTCTAAGTTTCAACAGTTGCCTAAGGAGTAATTTAAGCAGTACCTTCAAATCTTGATAATTTTTCATCGCTTCAAACATAATTATATTTTGAAATATTGATGTTTTTATTGAATGAAATAAGTAGCTTGAAATAAATTTAATAAATTTAATCAGGTTCAAAATAACATATGATGAAGCAAAAACAACAGAACTTACAAATAATTATCGATAGTTTCCACACATTAATTCAATTTTTATTTTAGTTTATATATTTCACTCAACTCCAAATTCATTTAAACGTAAATGAGAATGGTTACAAAATCAAAAAACAATTTAATAATCAAAATTTCAAGGTTTTTCTCATTTTTTCTTTTTATCCTTAGTAACTGCTGATGTACTTTGTTGATTTTTGCTTTTTGAGCAACAGAGTTTCCTGACAATGCAAGGGATCAGAATGAGGGGTACGGCAGCAAATATTGCGAGCACTGCGTACACGTCGAGCAAATGCACTTGGTACCACTCAAGATCAACAGCCGCCGAGCGTAAATGGGGCGCCCCATTGTGGCGCAGGACGTACTCGGTCCAGAAAACTGCTCTTTCCAGAGGCGTCTGCGGTTGGTCCCAAACCCGCTTTTGCAAATCTTTTGCTTTTTTCAGGAAGCTTAAATATTTTTTTTAATAAATTACGAATCATATAATATAGATTTAAACACAAATGAAATGATATGAGTCTGATTAGAGATATACCTGGGTTCACTGAGGATAGTTTTAATCGTGCTTAAAACAGACTCTTTGGTAATGTCATGATAGGGAAGTTGAAGGGCGTAGCCCATGCCCTGAGACCTGGCCACGTTGAGCATTTGGTCACCCATCATGGGTATTCCAATTAACGGCATTCCATAGTAAGAAGCCTCCTGAGTGCTCAGCAACCCACCGTGCGTGATGAAAAGTTTCACGTTTGGGTGTCCTGTATATTTTAATGTTTAAATTAGATTTAATAAAGCTCAAATTACAAACCGAGAATTGCCTGTTGGGGAAGCCAGGCTCCCGTTTTGACGTTTTTCGGTTGTCCCGGCAGTGTTTCTGCTTCCCATTTCCAAATCACCTTTTGGGGGAGCTCAGCAAAAGCTTCAACAAAGGCATTCACTTTATCGAGAGGCATGTCTTTGGCCTTAAGAATGGAGCCCATCGAGAAATAAATCGCGCCATCCTTAGCGCTATCCAGAAATTCTTGCAAATCCTTTTCAATTTTTTTAAATTTTACACTCATTTAATCATATTCTTATTCACCTTTGGCAAAGGTTTGACGTCTTTTTGAATTTGCATTCCTCCCGCTTCAATAATCGCAGGGACGAAAGGCCGAGGATAGTTCAAACTAAAGTGACCGTTTACAATTAGCAAGCTGGTGTTTTTCTGCATTTCCATCACGGAGGGTGCGTCTGGACCAAAGAATTCCTTAATGTCCTCTTCGACGGCAGGGAAAAAGAAACAAAATCTATTGGCAATCAACTTATTTAGTACAAATTTTGCAAAAGATGAAAGTTTCCAACCTTATGAAATTGATAAAATGAGCCATTATTGTGTTGGCAAAACGCTCAAAAAGGTTCATGTGGTCTGTAAATGGTAAAAATACGTTCGGCACATAAGAAGTGGGCTCTGGATTTCCCATCCCTAATTCAAAGTGAGTAGCAACTCCTGTTGGGGCTAATGATATCATTGGCGCTTTATTGAGCCACGCAAAAGGATAGGCGCAGTCATTGAAAAACATTGACACCAAAAGGAGATCAAATTTTTCATTTTTCAATGCTTCAACCTGCAAAGAATTTGTAAACTGTACTTTAAAGTAAAAATAACATAATAAGTGCAAAAATTTAAAATTAATACTAATTATTAAATTTAAAATAATATATTATGAAAATATCTAAAAAAAATAAATCATATTTTCAATCTTGGCGTGTAAATCAATTTTTTATTATTTTTATTTTGAAACCTACAAATATTAAAGTGTGTTATAACCTCTGGAATTTTTAAAGTTTTGCTGCAGATGAAGAAGAATTCAGCCGACTCTCTCCACTTTGATACCCGCGTCCAGAACCCCTCTGTGCTGGCCTCCACGACGTTATGAGCGCCGAAAATTTCGCGGGCAACCTTGGCGTCGATTTGCCGATAGTTCTTCGGCGTCTCCTTCATGGGGTATGCGGTGACCACGGTGAGTTCGTGACCTCGGTTGGCCAGCTCGACGGTCAGGGCGTTGAAAAAGTTGTTGTGGCTCTTTGAAGAGAAGCCAAAGTATCCTAAAATTTTTGCTGCCGCCGCCTCCGGGGGTGGCACGGCGGCCATAAAGGCCAATAGAACTATTAAATAGCTTGACCTCATCTCACAAACTGAAACATTTCAATTCTTTTATATCAAACAGAGAAACGTGTGTTTTAGAAACGTTGATAAGATAATGGATGATAATATACAAATAATGATCTTTGAGCCATTCAATGCCTGATTAAAGATAATCTAAGTTAATATCAGCGTTGTTTAAACTCTGATAATATGTAAGATTCTGTTTTATTTTAAATTGCTAATATTTTAAATAATTTCTTCAGGTCACATACATGGAGAGAAAAATCACATGTATAGCAATGGATCTCATGTTTGATTCTGTTCAAGTAGTTGCGTGAATTAATTTATCCAAACCACAAAAAATAGCTTATTTTGGACGCGCATAGAATAGAATGCAACACGCGTAACAGGAGAGTGTTGCAAGTTGTATCTTCTATATTAAATTATAAAAAAATGCTATAGCATTTATTGATTTATTTTCAAATAACGTCTGTTATTATTTCTTGTCGAACAAAATTTGTAATAATTTGATTTTTATTGATATTGTTGTTCATTTGTCTAGACTAAACAAATTGAAAAAAAGATTTGAATTTTCTTACGATGATTTTTCTTACCGATGCACTTAATTAATACTTGTTATTATAATGTTTCTGGTTCATAGCAACACATAGTTTTTGATTCGAAGGGCTAATATTTCTGAACACTTTGTTGCAGCTTATTTACAATTCAATATCGTCCGGCAGCGGCAGCTTGTAATAAGTATAATTTTTGAAATATTGCGGGTATTTCAGACATTTGTTTGCCACACTCTTGGGAATCTGGCAAAACATTTTAGAAATTGAAATATTAAAGTCCATATGGACAGCGTGCAAATTCGGTCTAGAACTCGCCAGAGACACCAAGTAAAAAGGGAAGTCTGCAATTAGGTCGGCGCCAGAATCAAGTGGAACAGGCACCTTCAGCGAATCGTAGCCGCACCACCACAGATCTCCCTTGTCATCAACGTAAGCCTCATTCCAAATTAGATTGTTCTTTGTTCCTGCGCAAGAAAACCAATGCTTATGAGATAATTATTTCAAAGTGTGTTTAGTACCATTTAGGAAATGGAACGTTTTGTTGAATTCCTCAGCCGACGAGGCAATTAATGGTGTCCCTCGGATTGTATGGCACGATGAAAAAGCAACTTGAAATTGTCTCTGAAAACAGAAATTTACATATCTGCTGAGAAAAAGCAAATGGATTAAATACTTTTTTATTCAAGCCAGTCGGTATGAAGAAGGTCAGTAAAGTTTCATTTGACACCAACTTGTTGTAATACACTGCAAAGGGAAAATTTTTAAAATTGGCTTATTTGGATATTTTTAGCCTACACAGAGCGGAGCAGAAATCTCTTGTATCTCTTTTATCCACATACTCCAAATCTTTTGCAAAACACTTTAAAGTTAGATACTCATCACTTTTTATGGGAAAAAAATCATTTGGTTTCGCCTTTAAGAGGTCTCCTCTTTGATATTCTATCTGTTTGATTATATCGCGACTTTGCAAATTTAAGACTCCGTAATTCCAAATGTCGGGCAAGTATTGCGAATTATTGAAGAGGCACACGTAAAATTTGTACGTGAATACGCACACATCATTATCCTTTGGTACTAAAATATGAATTAATTAAAAAAAAAATATTTATTTTTCAACAAACCTTCTGATCGACACTTTGAAAATTTATCAAGAGCCTCTCTTTGTGCAAGAGATTTGAAATCATCAAAAGAATCAGAATTTAATTTGATCCAACTGACAGCTTCAACCCTTTGCTGGTCATTTAGACCCGCGTTAGTAAAATTGCCGTTTGAATAATTTACTAAAATGAATTATTAAATTTGCAAAATTAATTCTAATGCTTTAATAATAATATTCGGAACAAACGATATTTTTGTGGTGAAACATCAATTGATGTCATCAAAATATAGTTAATGACGGTATCAATCCAAAATTTGTTATTCTCATACAACTGCAATGAAAAATAGGTGAAGCTTTAATGATTTGCGTGACTCCACATTACTAAATTTAGTACTAATGACAACAGCTCAGCAATGCAACCCAAATAACACTATTTTTGTTTGAAACAAATTTGTTAATAGTGTGTAAACAATTTATTCTACTAGAGAAACTCACCTTCATTCGGAATGAGAATGTTTTTGCAAACTCGAATTTCAACAACGAAATTTCACCTATGATTTTAATTATTGCAACCTTTATTTAATTTTTTCTTTATCTTACGTTTGCTCACTTGATTAACAACTTGGCACTCATTTGCAACCGATTGATAAAAGCTCTGATTTTGGACGCGTGACTTAAAATTAGTTAGTAAAATTAAAAGTTATACCAAGAGTAAAAATTAAATATATTTGCAAACCTCGCAAATGAAGTGCATTTCTTTTTCGCAGATCTCTGTCTCCAGTAGTACACCTAATAGTATGTAAATATAATAATATTTTACAACTATAAAGAGATGCATACCTTCCAAATAATCGTTACTAATATAAATGCACGAGTTATTCAACTTTGGTTCACCTTTTCGCCATTGCAAGTTTGATTTGACATAATCTTTTATATCATTTGAGCACCATCTACAAAGCGGGGAATTTTCATTTGTATCATAATATACATCAGAATTACAATTAAAATTAATAATATCTCAAACACATTTATGGTGATTCAATGGTATAAATTTAAATTTAAGCAAACTTGGGTTTTAAGGAAAGTTATTTCAAGATATTCAAGTAATTTTGATCCTTAAAAAGTTTAATTATATTATTAATTTAGATATAATTATGCATTTTCTCATTGCTGCGATGAATTAATGCAAATACCTAAATTTTCCTGGGCAATATTGATCAGTGCCTGACGTCCAAAAGCTCTCGTTGAAAAGTGAGATAACTGATAACAGGTATGTTATCCTCCTCTGTTATTGTAAATATTATTTTTTAAATTTCTTTACTTTTGTCTTCAAAAATTTTCCCCAGGCAATATTGCTTTTCGTAGGAGTAAATGGTCAACAGTCTCATACCAAGCGAGCAGCAATAGTCAATGGCACCTTTCCACGTGGCCTTTTGGCAAAGAAATCGCATATAAAATAATTGGTAAAAGCGATGAAAATTAAAAACTTTTTGCTTGGAAATTAAGTAATAAACACTGCATGATCTTTTCCAATAGCCAATCAGTTGCGGTTCTTGTTAGAGAATGAAGTTGAAGCATTATTGTAATTACTTTGTTCGTATTTTCTTACTGAACAGTGTCCAATAAGAACCAACAACTTGCATTCTCTTCAACTAGCATGACAATTATTAATGCAAAAAATTGAATGCTAAATTTGATACAAGCTTCATACGTCTATGATGCAGGTTATTGGTTCACATATTGGATTATTACAAAAGTCGTCATCATCATCAGTAAACTACGAAAATCAAATCAAAGTACTTTAATTTTGGCAGTAAATATGTAAAAATAATTAAATTGTTCTTTATAAAGATATTTAAACTAATCCAGAATTATTTCAATTGATATTAGGAATTTACGTTCGAAGATTGTAATTGCCCGATGACATCGACAACGTTGGTGTTTTCGCGTTCACAGGCGAAATTGACAAGGGACGTCGTGCATGGCATTATTTGAACGGGGGAGTACGCCTTTGCACGTACGTCATACTGCCCCATTGACAGACACGCGCCAGAGTACCATGTTTTGATTTTATCCCAAATTTTCTTGTCCGAGTCCCAAGGACCCAAGTTGTGCATGCAAAATCGGAAGTGGCCTGCACATCCAAGTCTCGTCCCGGCCGTCCAGTGGAAGGGAGCCAGATCGTAAAATGAATCAATATGAGCTAAAGATTTAAATGAAAATATCTTATGTTCCCTTTCAAATGTACAGTCATTTATACTCAAAGAAGAACTGTAAAATATCTTTGCACTGTTAATCTTCATTATTCTTGTTGTCTCCGGGTAGATCGGACTCATCCCGAGTTTACAGCACTGGATTACGTTCTCCGCCCACGACATCTGCAGATTATTATTTTCAAATTTGACATTCATAAAATTTTCAACGAACCTTTGTATTCCCAAACAAGTAAGTAATATTCATTGTTCGGTTGATGTTTATTTGAGTCCACACTCCAAAACTATATCCATCTTTATTTAAAAAAAAAATAAAACTTCTAATATCAAAAGAAACATTCAAACTTTTTAATAATTGTTTCTCATCAAAAAGATTTCCCTGTGCCAAAACGCTCTTTTTATTTGAACGTGTGTTAAAAAAATAAAAAATAAATACTTCTTTTTTACAGCTATTGTTGCTAGAACACGTGACTGTGCTGCACTGATTCTGTGTGGAAATGTGTATTAATATTTTAAATAATTAATGGAAACTACTAATAAGAAATGATTAAAAATTTTGAGAAAAAAACCTCGCAATAAAATGGCAATTTTCTCTCGCAACTGACTCTGGCGAGTGCACCAATTTTTGTCTGAAGGGCCAAACATTTTTCATCCGACGTTACGTTTGGCAGCCCAAAGATTATAGGATCAATTTCACTTCCACTCTTCGCGCACCAGGAATAAGCGGTTGATTTGCACCTCGTGGATTTCGCTTCGGCCATTCCACTAGTCCAAATGTAGGCAAAATTATCGGCACCTTTGCATTAAGCAGCGTTACAGTTTTCGTCGTGAACTTTCAAAAGACGCTTTACTCAGCCAATTGAAGATTAGAGTATTCGTAATTTTAGTGTTACTAAGGCATTGCCTTTGTTTTTCTCCGTCAACAGAAACAAGTTGCATTCGTCTTTGAGCACAAGCAACCACTGCCTCCTTGAACGTCACCTTAAATAAAATTAATTATTAAAATTCACTCTCAGATTTTACTCACCATTGACAGGCCAAAAAAATAGATGTGGCCGCAATGAATTTCTTTTCGTCCTACATATTTATTCCGATCCTTGGCATATATCGTGCTTAAGGCTGAATTAAAATGTTTAGTCTTATACTTAGGGCAAATTTATTTTCAATTAAATTCTCACTATCTGTTTCTGAGATGAAATCTGATGATGAAAGAAGACGTTTGTATCAATTTTTTTTATTCAATTTATTACAAACCCTCAGGAAAGGCTGATTCCAAGTATTTCTATAAAGCACTTAAAGAATATTAATTTTCTTTTATAAAACCAAGTTATCACACCTCCCGAGCATAGTCATGAAGAGTGCAATTCGCCTGGCAAAAGGGCAATTTTGCAGCTTTTGAATACACGCTCTGAAAAATATTGGTAAAAAATTTTAATTGTGTAGAAAAGTATACCATAAGCTGAGCCAAGATGTACAGTATGGTAAGCAGAAGCATTTGCGGTTGTGTGACAACAAATTTTGGAAAAATAATTTGTAGGCTAGTGATTGCTTTTGGTGATTTTCCGGCTGTAAGGCAACTTCCTCTGTTTGAAATTAATGAAAAATATTGATAGCAATCTTTTCACTTTCAAAAGCTAATATAGAAAGTTGTTCATTTGGTGCCTTTAATTTTATTTGAAAATAAAATTAAATAAATTAAGTTTTTTCAAATGAGTTAACTGCAATATAAAAGAAGGAAATCGCAAAATTATGATGTTGGGTGGGGTTTTCAAATTTAAATTGAATATATAATATATCAATCTACCCGATGCTTAAATTTTAATTAAAATTTAACAGAGATAAAAATCTGAGATTTTATCATAGATTATACATAGAGAAAATGGAAAAATTAAATAAAATTCAACGTTTTATGACAGTTGCGAAATAAGTCCAAAAACTTAATGCAAAATTTCCTTGCAATATATAATTTTTAATTTGCTACCACCATAAATTTAAAAATAATTCCATTAAAATAAAGAGCAATAAACACTCATTCCATAACATAATTAATGAGGCATAAATATTCCAATCACCTATATTTTTTACGTGTAACCTGTAAGTATCAAAATGTTGCGCAAATTTATTGATTTTGCAAACCAGCAGCTTATTTATTAACAATATTAACTTCGCTATCTAATCCTCATTTCAACCTCTTTTATGCAGCAGTTATTAAATCAGTAAAATCACTAACCGACACATATCTTGATTTTTTCTTGTTTAATTAATTTTGTATGGCGGTTTGAATTTAAAATAATTTTATTTTTAGCTAATTTTTTATGGTTTAAATCATAATACTATATCTCTTTAACGCCAAGTGTAAAATGGCAAAAAATTTAATTCAATTTAATTGTAAAGAGTTGTAGGTGAAATAAATTTTAAGTAACATACGCAGACTGTTAAATTTTTCCTTGTTTTATTGAGGTAAACCTTTTTATTAACTTTTAAGCTCTTAAAACTATAAATCGATTTTTTTTACATCCGCAGAAAGAATAAATTTCATAACATTATATAAATTGTACTTTGGTTTCTCATATCAAAAGTAACAATAGTTAAGACTTATTGGACGTTTGGCGATGAAGTGCATTCATATTTTTCAAATTTTAAGTGGGGAAACATATCACTAGGGCCTACTAAAACAATTACAATTTTAATTTAAAACAGCATTTGTACGACTGAAAATGGTTGGTTCAGATAAACCTTCAATTTGAAAACTGAGAATTTTTCAATATTTAGTTGCAAATTGTGTTTATTGATATTTATTATGTGCAAATACATTTAGTTTTATTGTATTTCATGCAGACTAAAAAAAATTGAAAAATAAAATTGGCAGGAAATTCTATGTATTTTAATTTCTAGTGTAGCGTTTTGCATAACAAGAAATTGTTTGTAA